GTTAGAGTTTGATGAAATGGTGAATGATGATTCCGACGATGATGGCATACCTAGTATTCCTGCAAACGAAATCTACACACCACCTCCGCACATGACAAACTTCAACATGGGCGGAGATGAACCTTCTACTGACTTATTTTTTAATCCGTATATGCAGTCGGATGAAAATTTAAAAGAGAAGGACAAGTGTCATAACATAGAGGAATGCATCAGAGCCATAAAAAAATTCCACATGCTCAACTCGGTTGATTTTAAGGTGGATCGTGTCAACCCGGAAAGGTACAAGATTAAGTGTGTCCACCCTGACTGTATGTTCAAGCTGACTGCATCATACAAATTAAGAGGTGACCGTTGGGTCATAGGTTCCATGACTACCCACACTTGTTTAAGTTCTACCCAATCACAGGACCATCGAAAACTTAACTACGATCTCATCTGTCAAGAAATCCTACCCCTGGTCAGCAACGACCCATCTTTGAAGGTGAAAACAATCATCTCCCACATCACCATGATTTTTAACTACACTTCGTCTTACTGTAAGGCGTGGTTAGCAAAGACTAAGGCGATTGAAAAGGTGTACGGAAACTGGGAGGAGTCATACCAAGAACTTCCTCGCTACCTGAATGCACTCAAGACGTATTCTCTGGGTACTATTTACATTCTGGAAACAGTGCCAGCATACGCCCAAGATGGTAGTCTACTAAACGGCAACAGAATATTCAGTCGAGTGTTTTGGTAATTTCAACCTTGCATTACAGGGTTTGCATCATGCAAACCAATTATACAAATTGATGGGACTTGGTTGCATGGGAAGTACAAAGGCACGCTACTGATGGCAGTTGCACAAGATGGCAACAACAACATTTTTCCCATTGCCTTTGCCCTTGTCGAGGGGGAGACCGGTGGTGCTTAGAGCTTTTTTCTGAAAAATCTGCGGACACACGTGGCTCCTCAACCAGATCTCTGTTTGATCTCGGACAGACATGCCTCCATTTAAAGTGCCTACAATAATCCTGCAAACAGTTTGCATGACCCTCCTTCTACGCATGTCTATTGCGTGAGGCATATCGTCTAGAATTTCACGAGGGAGATCAAGGACAAAACATTAAGGAAAACGGTTATGAATGCGGGATATGCATTGACACAGCCCACATTCAAATATTACCGCAACGAGATCCGTTTGTCAAATCCGGAAGCCGGTAGGTGGATCAACAATATTCCGGTGGAAAAATGGACTAAGTCATACGACAATGGCCAAATATGGGGGCACATGACAACGAATCTTATTGAATCAATGAATGGGGTATTCAAAGGCATATGAAACCTCCTGATCACTCCTTTGGTAAAATCTATGTATTTTAGGATGGCTGCATTATTTGCCAAAAGAGGTGAAATGTTGAATGCGATGTTGCAATCTGGACAACAATGGAGTGAAAGCTGCATGAAATACATTAAGGCAGAAAGTGCCAAAGCCAACACTCAAATGGTTATACGGTTTGACCGACATAGCCACAACTTCATTGTGAAATAGACAATCAACCACAACGAAGGCCTGCCAAGACAAGAATATAGGGTCATGCTACCTTCTCGTTGGTGCGATTGTGGCAGGTTTCAAGCATTTCGTATGCCTTGCTCTCATGTCAATGCCGCTTGTGCTCATACCCATCAAGATGCGCTGCAACTTCTGTCAAACATTTACAAATCTAAAATGTTGCTCAACTTTTACAACAACAAATTTCCTTTGGTAGCAAAACCAAATTATTGGCCTGCATACGACGGCGAAATAGTGTGGCACAATGACCAAATGCGAAGGAACAAGAAGGGTCGTCCCAAAAGTAAGTGCATCACAACAGAAATGGATGATCTTGACAAGTTGGAAAGAAAGTGTTGTTTATGCCGTCAGGTCGGACACAATCGCAAAAATTATCTGAATCGGGCGTCTGCCTCGACCACATAAAAATTGTAATACATAAAATCTTTCCTTAATTTTGTTGTAAACATTAGGGTTTTCCGTTAACAGATTTTTCTACAATAAATATTGCGCGTACAAGAAAAATTAACGATATTCCGTCTACGAAATTATAACTATTAACATAATTTCATCTGACCCATGCATCATCAACATTACATCGCTGTCTGTTTTGACTTCCTCCAACCATACATTAGGTCTTTCTGTCACATGTGAGGTTGTTGTTCGTTTTCACTGGATCCTTCGAATTTTTCCCCCCTCCGCAATGTCTCCATCTAGCCATCGCATCAACTCCCTCTTCAGACGCTGCATGGAGTGAATGTGCCAGAATTTCATTTTCATCGCAGGTTTTGTGGCAGAGAAGATAACATAACCATCTCTGCTAAAAATCATGGGCGACGTCATGACGCAAATAACAGAGTAAAAAATAAAAATACAGTGCGAGAAAGTGTGCGAAATTTCGGAGAAACAGACGAATTATTTATAAAACAACATTTTGCCCTAGTTTTTCCCTAGGAGTCAAGTGAGATGGCGCCTCCTCTCACTTTTAAGGAGCATGCGCCATCTCACTTTGCTAAAAGTGAAGGGAGGCGCCAAGTGAGATGGCGCATAGGGAAAATCTAGGGGTGGAGGCGCCAAGTGAGATGGTTCCTCCTTTGGGGAGTCATCTGAAACATGGTTATTTGCGAAATTTTTTCTGAAACGCGGTTATTTGCGAAAAATTATTTTAATACTTGGTTATTGTAAAAAAAAAATCAAAACAGAATATAGAATAATATAATATATTAAAAACAAATATATATATATATATATATATATATATATATATATATATATATATATATATATATATATATATATATATATATATATATATATATATATATATATATATATATATATATATATATATATATATATATATATTAGAATAATTTTTAAAAAAATAGACTGGAGGTTCCCGCACCCCACATCCCACACATGTACCTGCACGTGAGGATGACCATGTGGAGCCGAATGATGACGATCAGGATGGGGACGATGATGTGTTGGATGGAAACGATATTCGAACGAATAATGATCTGTGTCAGATTCATGTCATTGATGGGAGATTTTAAATTTGGCCCGTAGAAAGCTCGTAAGTTTCTTATTTATAAATTTTTATTTAAGTATACATTTCTATTTTTAATATAACTCTATATTTAATATTGCTAATTAAAATTATTGTTGTTTCGTTTCGGGACGAATCAGACTGTTGTCAAGATTATAAGTTATATAATTCAAAAGATGTATAAAGAATTTTGGAAGAGTTTTAAAGACGTTCCAAATAAAGAAGTTTGGTTTGATAAATTTAAGATATAATTTATTTATTTTTTAGTTATTGTTATTTATTTGAATTTTTCATTATTATTATTTAACTATTTATTTTAATGTGAAACCCAATGAATGAGAGGTAGATTAAAAAAATTATTATAGCATAATCTCAAGATGACTTTTTGACATACTACGACGTGTTAGACATCGTTGGGAACTTCTAGGTATCCATCCAGTTTTTGATGAATTTCTTAAATATTGAGAGACACCAGCATTTCAGGCTAATTTTACACTAGCATTCTTAAATATTAATTAAAGTTAATTTTATTATTTAGACTAAGACTTAGAGGAGACCACCGCTGATGATTGAGCTGGTTAAAAAGACTCGGATAAAGAAAACAGGGGATTTTGTTGACGAACGTACACAAAAAGCTATGGTAAGTTATTAAATTTACATTGTTTATATATTTTTTTTAACTTAATGGCAACATTGTGGCGTGATCTTCACGTGGCAACTGAGAAGTTCTGGCGTGAAAATCAAGTGGCAATTGAGAAATCGTGGTGTGAAAATCACATGGCTATATTTCATATATTATTTAATTTAATTTAATTTATATTTAACCTAATTTTTTATTGAATGTGTAGGAGGATTATCAAATATTGCTCGCAGAATTTCTAGCTCATAATCCTCAATATACTCCGCGAGAGGGAGAGTCGCTTCATTCAAATGTGAATTTTTATATTTAGAGTAAAGTCAATGGCGAAAAGGTGCATAACAGTTGTTTTTTTTGTGGTGGAAATTTGGCGGGCACCTTGAGAAGTAAGGATAAAACTATATTTCAAAGAGTTAGAGAGGAGGAAGGAGGTCGCGTAACCAAACTTGACATCGAAACAACTTGAAACAGTAAGTAAATTAACGTTAAATGAGGCGAGACGCGAGTCAGTGCAACATGAGGCGGCAATGAAGACTCAAATGGAGCCCCAAATAGAGGCAATGAGGCAAGAGTCACAGCGGCAAATGGAGGTCATGACAAAGAGACAAGCTGATATGGAACAACAAATGAAGTAATTTATGCAACAGTTTAGTGAAAATCAAAATGTCTGTGGTCAAGAGCTGAAGGATGACGGAAACAAAAATAATTTTAATATTGACAACTATCCCGACCAAAATGACCCGTTGAATTAATTTTATTTTAATTTTAATTTTAAATTTAAATTTGTATAACAGACTAATTAAACCTATTTATTATATTAAATTAAGAAATCTTAAATTTATAAACACTTATTTATAAACAATGAATAAACACTTAAAATATATTTATAAACACTCAAAATATATTTATAAACAATTTTTTAAATCAATTGTTTATTTAAAATTTTGTAAATAAAACAATTTATTTATTTTTAAAAAGTAAACACGCTTTACCTTTAGAATTTTGTTGGATACGTAAGAAATTCTCTAATGTATGTCACTTTTTTATAATAATTTAATTCCATATAAATTAATTTTTTTAATGATTTCGACCAAAAATATAGTAACCAACCATGATTAGGTGTCAAGGTATTTACATTTTAAAAAGTTAAAAAAAATATGCATCTAACCAATCATATATTATGGATAGAGTCAGTTATTAAGTTAAACCTAACAAAATATAGATACAATAATATAGTTTTCTAGTGCCAACAACATAATGAAATAACTATCTATCCATAATACATGATTGGGACGAGAATTGAAGAGTGGAGAAAGGGTTCTCGGTTGTATAATCGATTGGTGAAACGAAGTATTAAATCGGTGAAGAATGGTGGTGTAATAAGAGCACTTGTTTGGTATCAAGGTGAGAGTGATACTGTAAGAGAAGAATATGCTAAGGCTTATAAGACTAGAATGGAAAGGTTTATTCATAATATTCGATCAGATCTTAAACTACCAAATCTTCTTGTTATTCAGGTAGCACTTGCATCAGGAGATGGAAAGTTCGTAAATATGGTGAGATATGTTCAATTGAGTATCAAACTTCCTAATGTGAGGTGCGTTGATGCTAAAGGACTGCGTCTTAAGGGAGATAATCTTCACCTTACATCAATGTCTGAGGTTCATTTGGGCATCCAGTTAGCTCATGCCTATCTTGCCTCCACCAATCATCACTTTAATTATACACAAATTAGCTAGCTGATTAGCCATTTACTTTGCTAAATGAATAGATAAGTTATAGCTTGTCTAGCATAAAAGTGATCACACATTTTTCATAGTCACACAACTCGACTATTAGATTGAGATTGAACAACTCACATTTCATCTTTGTAAATTGGATGTTGTCTTGTGAATGTATGTTTATATCTCTAAATAAACTTTAGAAAGCAAGTTACTATAAAAAAAAACCAAACGTCTCTTATATACACTTTTTGTGCTAAAACTAGAATTATAGATGTGTTGTTGTTAATGTACAATGTATTTATATGCACTTGTAAATTTGAATTTGAAATGATTGAGAAATGAACCATCATATAAACTCAAAAAAACCATATAAATAAAATTTTAGCTACACACGAAATATTATATTTATTGATTGAACAAATAAAGAGTAACTACAAAAAGAATATAGATAAGACAATACATGTGATAGGCTTCTCCCATATGTGTTGTTATTGCAAGACAATAATATTTTCTTAATTACTTCTTGCTTCATAGTTCGATTGCCAAAAAAATGCATGCAATTGAAAAGAAATTTTAATTTTCTCACACTATGGCCATTGGTCACCTATTAACTACAACTAATATTGAATTTATTTTATTCCACATTTACAATAATAGACCCTTAAAAAAATACACTTTCGAACTTGTTAATTATTTACTTGCATAATAGCAATATGTAGTATAACTCTAATAAACCCTACAACAATTGAAGCAATTGCCACAACACTAAGGCCAATAAAAAACTATTTTCCATTACAAATGAAGCAACGGAGCTTCCACATGCAATGACTAAATATCACGCTGAAACACAAAAAGAATTGGTGAAAGAAACAAAGAAAATGCATATACAATAAGAATATGAAACCATCATTTATTTTTCGAATATGCAAGTAATAATATTAGAGCATTCTCAAGTCCTAATATATCTTAATATTGTTGGGGAGTTATTAGGAGCATCGATATATAGTGTAGGAATAAGCACATTTGTGAGAAACACACCACTTATCCACCTAAAACTTTAAGGTGATAGGTGAATGGATTCTCCTACTTATATATGCTTAAGTCTCCACATTCATATCTAATGTGTGACTATTTCCCCACTTAATCACACATGTTATATTATTCCAACACTCTCCCTCTAGTCTGAGTCCACAATGCTCCCCCACTCTTCTGGTCCCTTTTTCGAACCAAAGGCTCTGATACCATACATTCTAGATCACTGTTGCTTTTCCATTGTTTAAAATGATTCTGACATTTTCCATACCTTCTGCATTGAGGTATTTATCATCAGCACATCTGATCTTTGTACTCTTCTCAGAGTCAAAATCAACCAACCATTTCTTGTTTCCAGTTAGATTGTTTGAAAACCTTGTGTCCATATACCACCATTCTGATGAATTCATATTATCATGTTAAGAAGCCAACAATAGCACCGACTCATCATCAAACTCTCCTATGGCTATATTTGCTTCTTCTGACTTCCTTTCTTTGTTCGGCAAACAATCTTTGGCATAGTGACCAAAGTTCTTGCAACAATAACACTGAACATTCTTCTTGTCAGACTTCTCCTTTCTCTTCTAGACATTCTTCTGCCTATCAGAGATTGAAGCTTCTGACCTTTGACCATCATTAGTTTTCTTCCTGACTTCTGACCAAGTCTGCTTTTGATACTTCTTACAAGAAGTTACTTTCAGAGCCTGCTGCTCTACTTTCACCTCAGAAGTTCTCTCAGTCATACGCAACTCATGCGCCTCTAGACTACTTTGCAGCTCTTCAACTCTCATGGTGCTCAGATCTTTGGAACGTTTAATTGCTACCATAATGTAATAAAATTGAGAAGTTAAAGGTCTCAATATCTTCTCAATGATTACTTGTTCAGAAATATTTTCTCAACAAGCTTTCATCTCACTATTGATCAAAATCACTCTAGAGATGTACTCTGAAACCTTCTCGTTATCCTTCATGGTGAGATTCTCATACTGCTTTCTGAGAGACTGAAGCTTCACCTTCTTCACTGATGTGTCACCACCATAACATCTGACCAGTGTGTCTCATGCAGCCTTTGCTGTTTAAAAATAAACAATCTTCTCAAACACATTCGCATCCACATATTGATGGATGTAGAACAATGCCTTTTTATCTTTCTTCCTTAGTATCTTCTGTGTAATCTTTTGTGCCTCTGTTGCATCTGCTGCTAATAAAACATAGTCATTCGTGACAAGATCTAACACATCTTGAGAGTCAAATAACACATGCATCTGGATCTTCCAAATATTCCAATTTTTATCATCAAACATTGGAAGCTTGGAGTTGATATCAGTGTTTCCGTTCATCTTCAACCTTGTGCAATTCACGCAAAAAAACTCACTAAAATATAGTGTTTCCCAAATCCCACAAAATCAGAAAAAATGATTCTCAATCACATAATACTTCATTGTTCACTCGTGTTTCTCGTGTTTCCCCGTGGATTTCAAACCAAAGGCTCTGATACCAAGTTGGGGGGAGTTACTAGGAGCATTGATATGTAGTGTAAGAATAAGCATATTTGTGAGAGACACACCACTTATCCACCAAAAACCTTAAGGTGATAGGTGAGTGGGTTATCCAACTTATATATGCTTAAGACTCCATATTCGTATCCAATGTGGGACTATTTCCCCACTTACTCACACTTGCTATATTATTCCTACACTCCCTCTCAAGTGTGATTCCACAATGCTCCCCCACTCTTCTAGTCTCTTTTTCTAACCAAAGACTCTGATACCATACATTATGGATCATTGTTGCTTTCCCATTGTTTAGAATGATTCTGACATTTCCCATACCTTCTACATTGAGGTATTTATCATCAGCACAACTGATATTTGTACTCTTCCCAGAGTCAAAATAAACCAACCATTTCTTGTTTCCAGTAAGATGGTTTGAACACCTTGTGTCCATATACCACCATTATGATGAATTCATATTATCAGGTTCAAAAGCCAACAATAGCACAAGTTCATCATCACACTCTCCTCTGACTATATATGCTTCTTCTAACTCCCTTTCTTTGTTCGACCAACAATCTTTTGCATAGTGACCAAATTTCTTGCAACAGTAACACTGAACATTCTTCTTATCAGACTTCTCATTTCCCTTCTGAACATTCTTCTGTCAATCAGAGTTTGAAGCTTCTGAACTTTGACCGTCATTAGTTTTCTTCCTAGCTTCTGACCAAGTCTGCTTCTGATACTTCTTACCAGAAGTTACTTTCAGAGCCTGCTTCTCCACTTCCCTCTCAGAATTTCTCTATGTCATACGCAACTCATGTGCCTCTAGAGTACTTTGCAGCTCTTCAACTCTCATGGTGCTCAGATCTTTAGAATGTTCAATTGCTACCAAAATGTAATCAAACTGAGAAGTTAAAGATCTCAATATCTTCTCAATGATTACTTGTTTAAAAAGAGTTTCTCCACAAACTTTCATTTCATTAGTGATCAGAATCATTCTAGAGACGTACTTTGAAACCTTCTCGTTGTCCTTCATGTTGAGATTGTCATATTTTTTGAAAGACTGAAGCTTCACCTTCTTCACTGATGCGTCACCACCGTAACATCTGACAAGTGTGTCCCACAAAGCCTTTATTGTTTCAGAATCAACAATCTTCTCAAAAAAATTTGCGTTCATACATTGATGGATGTAGAACAATGTCTTTTGATCTTTCTTCCTTAGCGCCTTCTGTGTAATCTTTTGTGCCTCTGTTGCGTCTGCTGCTAACAGATCATAGCCATCGGTGACAAGTTCTAACACATCTTGAGAGTTAAACAACACATGCATCTGGATCTTCCAAATATTCCAGTTTTTATCATCAAACACTGGAAGCTTGGAGTTGATATCAGCGTTTCCGTTCATCTTCAACCTTGTGCAATTCACGCAAAAAAACTTACTAAAACACAGTGTTTCCCAAATCTCACAGAATCAGAAAAAATGATTCTCAATCACACAATACCTTATTGTTCACTCATGTTTCCCGTGTTTCCCCGTGGATTTAGAACCAAAGGATCTAATACCTTGTTGGGGGGAGTTACTAGGAGCATTGATACATAGTGTTGGAATAAGCAGATTTGTGAGAGACACACCACTTATCCACCAAAAATCTTAAGGTGATAGGTGAGTGGGTTATCCCACTTATATATGCTTAAGTCTCCACATTCCTATCCAATGTGAAACTTTTTCCCCACTTACTCACACTTGCTATATTATTCAACACTCCCCCTCAAGTGTGAGTCCACAATGCTTCCCCACTCTTCTGGTCCTTTTTTCGAACCAAAGACTCTGATACCAATTATTGATGCACAAAGGAGAGATGAAACATAAAAGGAATATATTGAATGACGGCTACAAAATAAGGAATAATGAATGACATTGACCTACCTACTACTAGGCTATTTATACATAAAATTAGGGTATAATAGAATACTAAAATACCCTCTAACAAACTTAATCAATAAGATATTCCTAAAATATAAATTAATTCCATCAAATATGATATGTTCCAATGAGCAAAAATGTCAATCTTTTTATTAAGAATAAAATATGATAAGCTGGAAGAGAAATGACTTATTTTTTATTGAATTAAACTGAGACTTAAATAACCTTTACAATCGGTATAAAAAAATTGTAAAAAAAATAACATTTACAACCCTAACAATAATAGAGAAAAACAAGATCACTACTTACGCCATCATAGTAATAGAAAAAATCCAAAAAACTAGGACTTATTAAAATAAATTCTGACTAGGACTTATTTAAATAAAATCTAACTGAATTCCTAAAAAAAATTTCATTCCCTCCCTTAAACTAGTTATCAACTACAAATCTACAACTAGTTAAATCAGGAATTTTTGGCAAATTCTTAACTGCATTCAAATCTTCTAAAATGCATCCATTGTGAAGGGATTTGTCATGACATCTGTCAGCTGCTCTTGTTTTTTTCA